TGCGGACGTAATGCTTTACAGTGCCTGTAAGCTTCGGCCTGTAGTACTTCTGTTGGATTCTGGCCAATGTGCGCGTGTATCCGAGGTGGCCGGAGGTTGGCTCATCGTCGCAAGTGCTCAGGATCTCATCGCGAATGGATGTCGTGACAAGTAAGTGGGCATTTCAGCTGGGGGCAAAGTTATTCTTGTATAGGACACCACTGCGCAAGCAGAATGATGGCAGGCTCCTTGCAAATATCTTGGGAACGCTTGTAGACTGGCCGTTAAGAAAATTAATAAGAGGGAGTAACTCACTGTCTTCTTTCTGCTTAGACGAAATGGTGACTGTGTCGACCACTCCTAAAAATGCCATGTTATCGTCTTCTGATAAATTGTCTTGCTTTGTAGGTGACCTGGATAAGCAATCAGCATCAGAGTGCTGCCGTTTCGACTTATAGACGACCGTCATATCGAATTCTTGTAGGCGTAAGCTCCAGCGCGCTAGCCGACCGGATGGGTCCTTTAAGTTGGTCAGCCAGCAAAGGGAGTGGTGGTCTCTGACTAAGTGGAAGGGACGGCCGTAGGGGTATGGGGGAAACTTCAGAACTGCCCATACTACAGCAAGACATTGCTTTTCCGTTGTGGAATAATGGGACTCGGCACGGGAAAGCCTCCTACTTGCATATGCAATCACACTCTCGGCTGAGTCTTGCCACTGGACGAGTACAGCGCCTAAACCTACATTGCTGGCATCAGTGTGGATCATGGTTGGAGCGTCCTCGTTAAAGTGAGCAAGCACAGGTGGTGTCTGCAGGCGCTGTCGTAGACCGTCAAATGCTGCTTGTTCCTCTTCGCCCCATAAAAATGGAACATCGTCTCTCGTTATGTGTGTTAAGGGCAACGCTATATGCGAGAAATTGGCGATAAACCTGCGGTAGTAGACGCAAAGACCAAGAAAACGTCTTACGGCCTTCTTTTCTGTTGGCACTGGAAATTTTTGGGCGGCGTCGATCTTGTCGGGGTCCGGACGAACACCTTCATGGCTCACCACATGTCCTCAGAATCGGAGTTCCTTGAAACCGAAATGACATTTCTCAGGTTTCAGCGTTAAGCCAGCAGACCGTATTGCTCGAAATACTAATAGCAGCCGTCTTAGGTGTTCCTCGAATGTTGGTGGGAAAACAATGACGTCGTTGAGGTATACCAGACACGTCTGCCACTTAAGGCCTGAATGGACGGTATCCATCAGTCTCTAAAATGTTGCTGGGGCTGAGCACAATCCGAAGGGCAAGATTTTAAACCCGTAAAGCCCGTCAGACGGAACAAAAGCAGTCTTTTCTCTGTCCCGCTCATCGACCTCGATTTGCCAATAACCGCTTTTCAGGTCCATCGACGAGAAGAAGCGTGCATGCCTCAGCCTGTCAAGTGAATCATCAATACGCGGTAGTGGGTATACGTCTTTCTTTGTCACGCGGTTCAGCTTGCGGTAGTCCACACAGAAGCGTAAGCTGCCGTCTTTCTTCTTAACTAGCACTACCGCTGATGCCCAAGGGCTTTTTGACGGCTGAATGATGTCATCATTGAGCATTTTCTGGACTTGTTCTTGGATTGCTTCGCGTTATTTCGGTGCCACGCAGTATGGGTTTTGTCGAATTGGTCTTGCAGTCTCTTCCGTTATAATTCGGTGCTTTGTCAGTGGCGTTTGATTTACCCTCGAGGTCGACGAAAAACGATGCGCGGCGCTTCGTGCGGCAGTAATGGGGGATTTTCAAATCTTCGGCAATTCGCAGCCTTCCCCCCTAAGGTCGCTTCTTTTAGTTTCCCCGGCGTGGACTGGGAGATCTTCCTCTTGCCATGTCCGTGGTGCTACCTCTAATTTAGATTGGGGAAAATGACCTGGAAAGGGCGAGCGTGACCGGAACCCAGGAGAAACGTCCCGCAGGACCGTCGTGCTCGTTTCAACGTTGCATCTTCCGTCGAAATAGCGCCGAGGGGTAGTAGACGGAAATCCTTGATACCCGGCAACGCGATGAGGACAACACCGCACGATGTGGCCTGCTTCCCCACAAAGGAAGCACAGGGGCCTGTAGTCAGGGGTACGCCATATGTCGGTTTTGCGGAGTGGGGGTTGCATCGGCGTCGACATTTCCCTGTAGTGCCAAGGCACTGTCGGCGGCTGTTGCTGGTGGCACTTCTGAGGTGGCGGCACGTTAGATCTAGGCTGTCGACGGAGAATATCTGCATATGTTGGCCTAACTATTTCAGTGTTTGGCTCGGGAAGTGAAAGCGCTTGCCTTATTTCTTGGCGAACAACTTCTGTGACCGACGCAATCGCGCAGTCATTCGGTGTGGCGGCGAGGTTCTTCACCTCTTCTTGCACAATTTCGCGTATCATGTCACGCAAAGAACGCTCGTCAGGTGTCACAGTGGTCACGGCAGTTGTGCTGATTTGTCCGCTGTTGTTTGGACAATCGTACTGGCGGTACCGTAGCTGTAGTGCGTGTTCCATGGCGGTCGCCTCCTTCCGAAAATTTGTCGACGCTTGAAGGTGGGTTCCGTACAAGACCAGCAAACAGCTGCTCTTTAACACCACGCATGAGGTGGCTGATCTTTCTGTTCTCGGACATATCGGGATCGGCTCGATGAAAGAGACGAGCCATGTCCTCAACAAACATAGCAACAGACTCGTTGGGCTTTTGAATCCGTGATTCGAGGGGTCGTTGTGCCTGCTCCCGCCTTTCGGTGTTTGCGAAGGTGTCCAGGAACTTCCGCCGGAACTTGTCCCACGTTGACCACACGCGATTCGTGAACCATGTGCGAGCCCCGTCTTGAAGAGGAAAATACACGTACCCCAACATCTGTGCGGCGTTCCACCCGTTAACGTTGGCTGTGCGCTCAAACTCCTCAAGCCAGTCATCTGCGTCCTCATATGTGTTGCCATGGAAGTCCGCAGGAGTTTCAGGGGTGAAAACAGTCACCTGTGTCCTGCTTGGGCTCGTCATGGTAGGGCAACTGCTTCCCGGCGCGGTCATGTTTTCCGTTCAAGGACCGAACTCTGGGCTCAGGCCTAACAGGCGGCGGCTGGCGCGGTGAACGGGTGTTTCGACGAGCGAAAGTCTTTGTGGACTAGATCCCGGGCTGTTGGAAGGTGTCCTGGACATGTACTCAGCACCTCCACCAGTGTCACGACGCAGACACGGCAGGAGTCCGATATAGAAGAGCTCACTTTAATTAAAATGAAAGGCGCTTGTAAAGAGGACCGGGCTAGAGTTTCGTCTTCCTCTCTGGCTGCGCGAGCTCTCCTCTGCAGGTTGAATGCAGCAATAGATAGCCTTCATTGATTACAAGAAGGCGTTTGATTCAGTAGAAATATCACTGCGGAATCAGGGCGTCGATGAAGCATATATAAAGATCCTGGAAGAAATCTACAGGGGATCAACTGCTACCATAGTGCTTCATAAAGAAAGCAACAAAATACCAATAAAGAAAGGTGTAAGGCAGGGGATACTATCTCATCAATGCTATTTACCGCGTGCTTACAGGAGGTTTTCAGAGGCCTAAAATGGGAACAGTTAGGCATCTGAGTTAATGGAGAGTACCTTAGTAACCTGCGCTTCGCCGATGACATTTCATTGCCGAGTTACTCGGGGGATTAATTACTACTCATGATTAAGGAATTAGAAAAGGAGAGCAGAAAGGTGGGTCTTAAAATTAATCTGCAGAAAATGAAAGTAATGCCCAAGAACCTCGGAAGAGAGCAGCGCTTTGAGATAGGTAATAGTGCACTTCAAGTTGTAAAAGACTGTCTATTTAGGGCAGGTAATAACCGGGAAGCCGAACAATGAGATTGAAGGAACTAGAAGAATAAGAATGGAGTGGAACACATTTGGCAAGCACTCTAAAATATGACGGGTATATTGCCACTATCCTTCAAGAGGAAGGTTTATAACAGCTGTATCTTGCCGGTACTTAGCTACGAAGCAGAAACCGGAAGACTTACAAAGAGGGTTCAGCTTAAATTGAGGAGGACGCAGCGAGCAATAGAAAGAAGAATGGTAGGTGTAACCTCAAGGTACAACAATAGAGCAGGGTGGATTAGGGAACAAATGGGGGTTAAGGATATCATAGTTGAAATCAAGAAGAGGAAATGGACATTGGCTGGGCATGTAGCGCGTCGACAAGATAACCGCTGGTTATTAAGGGTAACTAACTGGATTCCCAGAGAAGGCAAGTGGGTTTGGGGGAGACGGAAGGATAGGTGGGCAGATGAGATTAAGAAGTGTGCGGGTATAAATTGGCAGCAGCAAGCACATGACTGGGTTAACTGGCGGAACATGGGAGAGGCCTTTGTCCTGCAGTGGACGTAGTCTGGCTGATGATGATCTATCATCAGCTAAATGTATTCTTAGTTTCATGTACAGTCAACTGCTGATTTTTCGGACATGCTCGATAATTCGGACATCTTCGCGGCCCTGCCACGAGCCCCATAGAATAAATGTATAAGGAAGTCTGAAATTTCAGACGTTCGAACTCCCTGGAGTCTAATTTTCTGGACTTTTGACGCGACAGAAGGTCAGAAACCAGCACTGACCGCCAGTGGAAGCCACCAAAACTGCGTCACATGCGATGACGATTGCACAAATGAGCGCGCCGGTCTACTGTGCGGCATCTGTTGCTTGGACTCGTTGATCGTTAGCGGAGAAACAGGCATGGCCTCCGAGATTCCTAACACTGGCCGTGTTTATCATGCAAGGGCGGTTCGCTGACAATCGAAACTATCCAGCCGGAAATTTTTTGGCGCCAATAAAGTTCCTTTCGCTTTAGCGCTTGTGCTCGTGCGTGCCATTCTGGCTTCCCACGCAGCGCTTTCGTGAAGCGTTTCACCACTTCGAACTAGAACTAACCGTCGCACACCGATTTGGTCTGGCCACGCTGGCTATCTTGAATGTTTATCAGTGCCACCTCCGGATTACCCGAGGCACCATCGCGCCATTTTGTTTACGCAGCCCACATGGTGTTTGGCTAGCCTAGTGCATGGTTGTACGATCGTGTGAAGTGTGCTCTGCAACTCTAAGCCTAGGTACTTCGACGCTCGTCAGCAAACTCCTTTGTTCACATCGTGAGGATTTCGCTTGCCTGCGATAGCCCCCACTCTGCCTTCGTCGTCCTCGCCGATGGCATCGAAGTGCGGAAAACAGTACCATTGGTTAACGATGGAGAAGAAAGCCGCCATTATTAAGTTAGTGAAGAGTGGCCGATCGCAGGCTGACGTGAGCAAGGAGTTCGTTATTTCCAAGCAAACAGTTTCCGGTTTTCTGAGGAACAAAGACAAGATCTTGGAAGCGGCCGAAAAACCGTCTGGTGCCCAAAAGATGAATGCAAGCTAAGGTGTTCGTCCAAAGCTTGAGGACGCTCTCGTCGTGTGGCTTAATTCAATGATTGCCAAGCGGTTGCCTGTCTCGGGCTGCATCTTTAAACAAAAAGCGGAAACTCTCGCGCTTCGAATGGACATCACGGATTTTAAGTTCAGTGATGGATGGCTGAGAAACTTTAAACACCGGAATGACCTCAAGTTCAAGAAGATGTGTGGCGAAAGCGGCACCGTCGACAGTGCAGTTATTGCGCAGCACCGCAGTAGAAAACTCCAGTCTTTGTTGCAGCAGTTCTCTGCTGACAACATTTTCAACTGCGACGAAACTGGCTTGTTTTACAAGCTGCTGCCGGAAAGAACACTCGCTTTTGATAGTGACGCATGCCATGGTGGCAAGCATAGCAAAGAACGGCTGACCGTTCTTGACGGCAGCAACATGTCTGGCAGCGAGAAACTTCCTTTGTTAGTAATTGGGAAGTCCAAGAGCTCGAGGTGTTTTAAAGGGGCAGCGCTGCCAATGTTATACGAAGCCAACAAAAAGGCATGAGTAACCCAGCAGTTGTTCGAGAGTTACGTCTGCAGGTTGGACAGGAAGTTTGAACAACAGAACAGACGTGTTCTGCTCTTCGTTGACAACTGCACTGCTCATAGTCACATCAATAACCTGAGGGCTATCCAGCTGGAATTCATGCCGCCCAACACGACTGCGATCCTACAACCGATGAACTAAGGCGTTATCCGTAATCAAACTTTTGTACCGTTCACGTATACTCAACCGCATGGTGCTGTGCTCTGAAAACGGAAAAGGCTACAGCGTTGACCTTCGGTCTGCTGTCGGAATGCTTGCGGATGCATGGAAGGCAGTAACTCAAGACACGCTTCGCAACTGCTTTCGCCACGCGGGCTTCGTACTCGACACAGAGGCAGCAGACTTGCCTGAAGAAAGCGAGAGTGTGACAGACTTGTGCCCTCTCATGGACGATATTATCAACGACCTCCGCTCTGCTGGTGCTACCCATGCCCACGGAAATAACCTTTGAGCGATTCGTCGACGCTGACAATGAGCTTGACTTCTGCGCAGAACTAACCGACGACGAAATAGTCAGTCAGGTTGTGGTGGATTCAGACGACTCCAATGTCGAAAAAGAGGAACCAACGCCTGTGCCACCTACGACCGGGAAATTGATGCGAGCATTGATGACGCTGTCATCGGTGTACAGTGATGACATGACCCTTGCTCAGATTGAGGCGAATATGATCACATGCAAGTGGAACGTCATTCAAACAAGGATCAACGAGTTTTTCAAGCCACTGCAGCTCTAACACCGGCTGGCCTGACGGCACCCCCTGTCGGCTGCATGCATTTTTTTTTTTTAACGGCTGTTTTCAGAGCCACCTCTCTGATGCTTTGGCAGTTCCGGAAGTCTGTTACTTCGACCTTGACCTTCTTGATCCGAGAAATATCAATGAAATGGTGCGCTTTTTCTTGCATTGAAAATTATCAGTAAACTAATGCGTTTTTTTTTTTGTTGCGTGCATTCATTTTTTCGGACTGCCCGAATTTTCGGATGGTTTTTCACTCCCTAGAGGGTCCGAAAAATCGGCAGTTGACTGTATCAGTTCTATTTTCTTGCATAGAGTGAGTGCTGCTCGTCAGACTATTTATAAATTACACAAAAACACATGATTCTTCCAGTTGTCCACCAGAATCTTTAGGAAATTTACACCAAAAAATACTGTTTACAAAAGAAATCGGGTCTAAATACTTACTGGGCTTTGTGAATTTTATTCACAATTTTCTACAATGAAGGCATACTTTTGCCAGTCCAAGTACTTAGTAGAATGTCCAATTAATATTTTGATGAATCGATGCTGTTTTGTTTTGGCAAGATTATCCTTCTATTGGCACCACAACCACTGCCTATAGTAGACTTTTTGAAAGTTTCTAAACATGTTACATTTATCAACTTTCTAATTTATGTATTGCTTTTTTTTTACAGGTAAGCTATTTGTTCCTGAAGAATGTCAGCAGTGCTAAATATGGTGTGGATAAAAAGCCCCATCATATTGTACTAATGTGGTTACAAAGAAGTACTGCTGGGCCGCTGAGAACAATTTTCCATTTAAAAGCCTGCAATTGTGCTGCTGCTTCTGCTTGGTGAGCATCAACAGAAAACAAATAAATTAGTTTTGTTATGTCAATGCTGTGATATTCTGGTTGCTGTTGTTTACAGAGTGTTTCACTAGGACCAGAGTATTGTACCAAATACATCACTGATGTTTGTTTGAAAACTTGACCTACTAATACAATTTTTTTCAGTTTTATATGCTGCCCTCCTCAAAAAAGCCAACTTCTGCGATCTGGAGCAAGATTGAGCATTGAAACAGTTTCACTGCCACCATATTCACCACTTAAATGTTGTGTAATCTTATTTCCTCTATCAGCTTGCTGATTTGTGGGAGCCAGAGCACATAACCAATTTCATCGTTTAAGCAGTCAGCTGCACGACTAAGCGGCAGGACTGCTCAATAATGAGCATTGAAATAAAATAAAGCATTGACAACAGTAGCTACACGACAAAAATAACCTTCGTAAATAAAGGTGCATTGACTACCTCAGTAATGTTTATAAATATAAAGGTACGTACATACAGGAAACAGGGACACTAAACAGTGCTTCTGTGCCACTGCTGCTTCTAGAATGCTATCGGTAAAAAATTACCTTTTTTTTTTAATTGTGAGAATATATGTTTAGAACGTACGAGGATGAAGGAATTTTCTTTGTCTTCATTTAAAAATGCATCATGCAGTCCAACAAGTATTTTCTTCCTTCCCGTCTGTGTAGCTGCTGTCTTCGTCATAATCATGCATAACCTATTAGTTTCCAAACAAATGTTCCTACCGTGTATGTTTTGTTTAAAATTTGTCAAAGCAGTTGCTTAAGAGATGGCTTAATAAAGAAGAGGACCTCATGTTTTTTTTTCTCCCATTTTCCAGATGAGACATACTCTGTTCATAAAACTGATGCAGCTGTTCCGGACGTAACAAATGGATGGCTCGTCTTTGCTTCAGATCAAGAAGGTGCACCTATGCGAGAAGGCATGCCGCTACGATAGACGACTTCAAGAGAAGCCCCAGCAACACTTCAGAATCACAAGGGTTTGCGAAATGGAAAAATGGCATATTGCCTTCTATATATTACGTGTAAAATAAACCGGAAGCTCTAAAAATGAAAGAAATGGTCTTGTTACTTCTCGTGGTTGGGGAGAATGGGGGCATAAAAAATATAGAAAAAAGAAGCTGGGGCATCAAATTGTAGCCAAGACAAAAATAAATAAATGAGTCAGAAATTGCAGTGGCCAAAATGGTTGGCTGCCATGCCAAGAACATGCTTGGCTATTGCATGGTATTCCAACGCAGTGCCAACCATGGAAAGGGGTGTTTCCAATGATTTTCCAAGCACTGCCTTCCTTTGCTTGGCCAATGGTAGGCTTGTCACACTTCCCAAGCACATACTTCCTTTGGCCTCCAATAACTTTCCAAGCATGGACAGCTTGCCCACTGATGATTAATCATGCTTGGCCGAAGCAAATTTTGCTGGTAGGGCCGGCCAGAGCGGATCGAGTTACTTTTTTGTCAATGCAGCCAGATCATGTACAGAGATTTATGTATCCGAGAGATTTTCATGACAACCGTACAAACTGAATAAACGGTCGAAATCTGGGAGTCTTCCAGACAATCCGGAAGGCTTAAGAGATATGCTACAGGCACTTTTTTTTTGCTTGTGCATCTTAGCAAGTGCAGCAAAACAGACACAAAAGAAAGAGACATGTAAGCAGGACGAGCGCTAGACATCAATAGAATGTTCACCGACGTAAAAAATGTGCCCTGAATAGAACACATTTTTGCCATCCCCGTCAATGTTAGTTTGAGTATAAAGACATTCTATGTCTGAGTATAAAAGAGTGCAGCCAAAGGTTGTGGCTCAAGAGGAGAGAAAACGCACAGGTCATTTTCCATCATAGGTTGCTCCAGTGAGAACGGTAAAGATAGCTCGTACCTTTGTACATTTTGTCCTCTCGCCACACAGTTATGATAAAGCAATAGAGAGCACGCAGGTCACTTCACCTGCTGTGGAGTTGTGCTTCCTTACCCCAGCGTTTTGTTACTCATGACATGATGCTAAAGAAATTACACTACCCTGCTACTACATGTATTGCTTCATTCTTGTGGCATAATTGTGATTTTTTTTTAATCGTCCCACCATGAAGTTGTCATTACCTTATGCAACAACTTTTTCTCTGTTTTAACTCGAAAATTTTACAAAGTGTTTGAGAGTTAATTGTATTTGTTCATGCCAGTCGGGATCTATGTAATATTACAGAAATAGACACATGAAAGCTTCTACAAAAGATTAGTGCTTGCTAAAGTAAAGGTAGAAATTATTGAAGGGTCACTTGAGGCTCCATTTTTTTTTTGTTTTTTTGACAGAAGGGCCTGATTCAGTCATGGAACAACATAACGACAGTGATAATGAATTTCAGAAGAGGTTATCGATTGTGGCAGTAAAGCTAGTTTCCATTTCGCCCCTTTATTGGCTAACCAGGCACACTCTAAGGATTTTGGTATTTTATAAGGGTAATTTTCTGTTATAGATGAAACATTATGTGTCTCTTTCAAAGAGATGCTGGACTGTCTTGCCAATATTGAACAGCTGCAACACACTGGCTAAACTTGCACATTAACAGGAAGCCACAAGTAATATTGCTGAACACATCTTAGTGAAGCCAACAAACAATGCCACCAAGGAATACTTGAGGGACATTATTCGTAGTTTTTGACTATGAAGTAGTAGTACTAATGACATAAATAGAAAGGAATCAAAATGCAACAAAGAACAAAGGCTGTCGGCAGGGTCTAAACCTAGATCCAAGATATTACTGATGAGCTGTCAGCTCCTAGAAAATTTCACATGCTGCCCTGCCGCAGTGGTCTAGTGGCTAAGGTACTCGGCTGCTGACCCGCAGGTCGTGGGATCGAATCCCAGCTGCGGCGGCAGAGTTTCCTATGGAGGCGGAAATGTTGTAGGCCCGTGTGCTCAGATTTGGGTGCACGTTAGAGAACCACAGGTGATCGAAATTTCCGGAGCCCTCCACTACGGCGTCTCTCATAATCAATGGTGGTTTTGGGCAATAAACCCCACATATCAATCACAAGTTCACATGCTAATGGCGCCAGCTGCCAAAAGTTGTTTCCCATTTGCCCCCATGACTATAATGGCACTGGCTAACCCAGCGCGAAATACAGGCACGGGAATACCCAATAAATTAAAAAAGGAAACGATTGCTCGACAGGTGCAGTGCCCGAAGCGTTATGTGTGGTAGGCTTGGTGCCTACTGACATCGTTTCTTTTTGTTAACCAACTTTATTTCTTTTTCACCATATTTCTTATACTAAAGTTAAAAACAATACCAAATAGTGAGTCACTCTACTTGTTAAGTTGGATGATCTGTAAACCTGTTTAGCATGACATGGAGGTCACAGAATTTCCAATGATAGCCAATCACACACCTTGCAACCCACTATCAAATGTCTGCCCAGAAAGATCCCTTTGAACATAGCATGTGCTCCATCAAAGTTTTTCATTTGAGCTGCATGCTGCTTGAGTCTTTTTTCTGCATTCTCTGTCTTATGACATCCGTTGTTGTGTCTGCCATACCACGTCAGCTTTGGGTGTTGTGCACGATCTTATAGTGGCCCAGCAACTAACTCCTTCCCAGGTAATACTCGAATGGCTTCAGTGAAAGAGCTTAGTGCCTCACAAATGGACTGCCATAAGAATTTCGGGTATCCGTCGAGTGCAGAGAAGGAGTTCGAAAGTTTGTCCCATGCTTTAAGCATATCTCCTCTCCTGTAGTACCAGCGACCACATTGAAAGCTAAGCTGGGGGGAGGGGGGAGAAGGGCAACAAGAAGATGCGTCCATTTGTCAGCACGCATCATGACCTTGAGCATTTTCTTCTTTTTTTCTAATACATGGCTTTCAGTGCAATCCTACGCGTTGCAGACAGGCCCGTGGCAGCATCCTGCAGCAGCTATGGCGACTTGAGCTGCTCGCACAGCTCAAGTCAGCCAACATCTGTGTGCCTTGAATTCATGATGCAGTCATAACAATTTACATTATCATTTGTTGAGAGAAGAGGAAGCAATTTCTAGCTGACCGAGAATTGATTATAAAATGCAGGTTGCATCCTGGGCTCGCATGTTCTTGGAAGCCCTGACTACCAACTGGCCCCATTTTCTAACCGAAAAAGTGTTGCGGGGCTCCATCAAGTGGTGTTTGCGGCCCCCACATTCCGTTGCTCATTTGACGCCTACATGCGGAGAGCAGTGGGGCTTACCGTATTCGAGTGGCACATTGTTGACGTGCAGGAAAAATACACAGATCCTCAGCCATATGCAAATTCCCTGTAATGAAATCCCATCTGCCTTCCTTGGCTTCACTGTCAGCAGGATTCATTATGTAGTCTCTCACAAAGAAACGAGCCCTTCAATCCACTCCCCAAAGTACAGTTGAAACATTATACCTTTTTCAATCTGCTGGGCACTCGCGTTCTAGTGGCTGCAAGAATAAAAGATCGTGTTAGGCTTCCACAACAACAAAAACTCATTTTTACACTTACCTCTCTTCCATGATCTTTGTGTCTGTGGGAATAGAACAACATAAACAGTTAAACATTATACATATTTTTCAAGGACTTTTATCCATTCCTGCCACATCGAAAACAGTGCTTTTCAATAAGGTTGCAGCAAAGAAAATTCCTCAAGGAGGCAGCATTGCTAAAATTTTATTAGTGACAACCATGCCTCAAGATGACCCATCATGCAACAGCCAATGCTCTGGCTACGATGATGCAAAATTAAGTTTTAATATATGGTTTGCACCAGCAGAGCAGAGTATCATCACTCAACATCAAAGCCAGCTGCTAAATGCGCCTTTCAACATGACCATGTTCACAACCTGACTCCAAGATCAGCCTTTATCAAGGCTTTGGATGTTTTACTTTTCCAGCTAGGCACAGTAAGTACACAGTCCATCATTAACCCTACAAAGCGTTGGTTTCGAGGCTACGGGCGGGGATGGCGGCCCGCATCAAGAGGCTATGCCCGCATGTGGCCTGCAAGCGCTGGTTTCGAGGCGACAGTGTCGCTGCGATTCACTACACTACAGTGTAGTGAATCACTAACAGTGTCACTGCGCAGTAGGGCAAACGCTATTCAAGATTCGCTCGCAGGATTTCAAGGTGGACGGTCGTGCCCTCGCGATCTCCGACGCCAGCGTAGCTCCCGCCGACTGGTTCGCCCTCCGCGGTCTCCTGATGCCGTGCAGCTCTCGCATTGTGGTGCCCAGTCCTGGACTGCTTCGACCGGATCACCACTTTCCTATCTCCTTCTATTTTCCGTCGCTTGCTTCTCTATTTCTTCATCTATTTCCTTCTATTCTTTTTATCCCTCCTTCCCCCCACCCCTATAAGGCACTGCGCCGCTTCGCCTATAGGCAGACAGAAATTAGGTGCCTTTTTCCTCTTCCTTACGAACCACTACCACCACCACCTATTCAAAAACTCTTATCGCAGCGTTTGCAAACGGTATTCTAAAGCTCCCTATTATTGAAGTTGGCGTGTACTGAAAGGGGTAACCCGTTCAGTCGGTCGGTGTGTACAGACGCTTCCCGCGTAACTAATTATTCGCACACCAGTCAGCTTCAGTACTTGCATAAAAATTATCCACTATTAGACCCGAAATACATGCACAGTTTATCATTTGATTGTACTTGTTACGAGTGAAGAAAAATAATACCTTTTCCGCTGCTCCTGGGCCGCGTCAGGTCGAACGTGGTAGTTTATCCAGCAAAGTGATCCTGCGCAGCAACATATAACATTATAAAGTTAAATGATTGCTACTTGACAACTCGGGAGGCCTGCACGAATGCGCACGCTAAGTTTCAAGCCATGTGATGAAACGCGCGGTACGTGACAGTCCATTCAAGTTGGCATGTAGTACATTTGTACAGCCGTGATTGCAAGGGTTAGAGACGCTTCCAGCGAGAGGAGCTCTAGCACTTACCTTGAACCACTTGTCGTCATAAATGCAACAGTTTCGGCTTGCAAAACTTTTAAACTCGTTACATTTCCTACACTCGATTCTATCCTCTATATCGAAGTTACCGCCAGCT